GTCTCCGTGCCATGGAGCAAGGGGACATTTGGGTTCTGGGTAGGCTGTCTCATGGATGGTTTTCTATGCCTGTGCCATCAGTATGAGGAGCTGCAGACCACTGCTGGAAGGCACGGGGACAGCCTGCGCAACACCAAGATCGAGATCCAGGAGCTGACCAGGAACGTCCAGCGGCTGCGGACTGAAATCGAGAATGTGAAGAAGCAGGTAGGGATGTGTGGTGTCTCTCTAGATATCAGCATAAGAATGTGTCAAATATAATGTCTATGGATTATAGGGCAAAAATGTGTTCTTCAACTCTAGCACTATTGACTCTGCAGAGTGCTGTCTTTTATCCTTGATCCTTCCAGTTTGGGTTTGAGGGCTTTTGTTAGGGAATAAAATGTGATCTGAAGGAGTGTCCTTCTCCTTCCTCAGAACCAGCAGCTGCAGGCAGCTATTGCTGAGGCTGAGGAGAGGGGTGAGATGGCTCTGAAGGATGCCAGGGTGAAATTGGAAGAGTTGGAAACTGCTCTGAGCAAGGACAAGGAGGAGCTGGCTCGCCTGCTGAAGGAGTACCAGGAGCTGCTGAACGTCAAGATTGCCCTGGATGTGGAGATTGCCATGTACAGGAAGCTGCTGGAGGGAGAGGAGAACAGGTACTTTCCTTTATTTATGTCTTCTTAACCTTTCTTGACAGACCATGTGCAGGTGAGGTCTTTACATATCACTCTGGAGATAAACCTGATATATTACATTTGATGTAATTCTTAGTCAGAAACACAAAAGTTTTTGACTTTTCTTACAGTGACACAAGAACAGTTGTGAAACTCAAAAAGAATAGGGTACATATAGCTAGAGAATATAGCTAGGAGTATTCTCAGCCAAAGAAGCTATCTTGTCCCCTAGGATTGACCCTTTCTGTTTCCTCACACAGGCTGTGCAACGATGGGATGTCCAACGTCAATGTCTGTAAGTGTCTGCAAAGCCGTGGTAGGTTGCATCTTAACTGAGAAAACCTGCCCACTGGCCCATGTATAACCTCTATGTCTCTTCCAGCTGTGGTAGGCAGGACCACCATCTCTGGAGGAAGAGGAGGAATGGGAGGAGGATTTGGAGGCAGCGGAATGGGAGGAGGATTTGGAGGCAGCGGCATGGGAGGAGGATTCGGAGGCAGCAGCATGGGAGGAGGATTCGGAGGTGTATGTGGCTCAGGAGGAGGCTTTGGAGGTGGAAGCTCTGGCGGCAGCTGTGGAATGGGAGGAGGAATGTACAGCGGAGGCTTCTCCTCTGGAAGCGGAAGGATTTGCGGCTCTGGGGGTGGCAACTTCAGCTCCGGTGGTGGGGGATCCTCCTCCATACGGAGATGCGTCACAACCACCTCCGTCAAGTCTTCAGGAGTGAGGTTCTGAGCCCTGAAGGCCGACTGAGAAAGAAACCAAGCATCTCCTCCCTTCCCCCGGCAGCAGCCCAGCCTCCTTAAATCCATCTCTGGTACCCCACCATGCAACAAACTGTGTCCCTCATGGCCAGCATGAGCCAGCTGGTCTACCTGGCTCGTCCCCAGCATGGGAGCCTGGGGGCCATGACACACTGCTCACCAGCCTCCTCCTCAGTGAAGAAATAACAGTCTGAGCAAAGTCTCACACGTGGATACCCCGTACGGAGAGCTGATTTCAAGGAGGAACCGCTCTGCCTTCCTTGCTGCATTGTACATTTCTGGCTGCCCCTGTGGCAAACGTGTATAAAACCACTCTTTCTTCCTCTGTCCTGATGGCCGTAGCCCTGGGGTGCTTCTGCATGCAGTACATCCTGTTGCTTCCATTCACTTGTGTCATGGGTTGTGGTACCTGAGGGGCAAACGAGACTCCTTCTGTGGCTGCAGGTGCCCAGAGGACTTTTTCTAAAGAGTCCGAGCTTGCTTTTCTGTGCCAGGCCCCTGGTGACATGGAGCAAGATGTATTGTCCCCACCTCCCTTCTTCTTCTGTTTGTGGTATGTCCTTGGGATGTTGCCATTCTCAATAAATTGCAGAGAACATTCACTATGTCTTGTTGTCATTGCTTTGGAAGTCACTTCCCAGCAGAGTGACTATTGCTCTGGGGAAGCAACTTGGTTGCCCCGAGCTGCTGGAGCTCTCAGACTTTGGGTTTGGGTTTGTGTGGTGGCAGGGGTTTGGGTTCCTTCTAGATCAAGGTATTCTATGATTCAGTGATTCAGCTCCCTTTGACTTCTATGTGTCATAGCACTGCCTGAAATTGCAAGGCCACATAGGAGGGACTCTGGACTCTCAGTCCTTGAATGACCAGTAGATGGGTGCAGGCAGGGAGCCCAGAATGGAGGAGTGCTGGCGTCTGGGGAAATGTGGGTAGATCCTCATATAATCCTACCCTGGGAATCACAATTTCCAGAGCAGGTGTCATCACTTATTGTGTCTTTAGACTACTCAGAGACAATGGATTTACCCATGCCATAATCTAGGGCTCAGTCTTTATGCAGAGTAACGCACTCATTATGGTTCTACTCATGTCACAGCTCACCACAGCGTTCTGGTGATGCAGAAACTAAAGCAGACCTAACAAAGGAGTTTATTTGCCTCTTTGCCTTCATAATCATCAGGAAGAAGACATGTAAATGGTATGCAGAAATCAGAAACAGAAAACTATGCTCCTGGTGCACAAATGCTGGCATAGAGGAGTGGCTAAACCAGCAGAGACCAAACACAGTGATTGTGATGGGAAAAAGACAGTGGTGGGGAGGGAGCAGACATCAGATCACCCAGCTGTTGTGGCTGCATCTGAAGGCGCTGCCCTGGAGTGGACTCTGCTCTGTGGTAGGGAAAGATGGGAACAGAAAGAGTCCTGTAAGCAGCAGCTGCTGGAGAGCATGGATGTGAATGCTGACTTACAGCAATCCGCAGAGCAAGGTCAGCAGCCATGAGCATCAGTAGTGACTAGCAGTTCCTCCTGCTCTCCACTTACCAGCAGTGGGAAGATGAGGGATAGGAGAGGGATGTTCTGTCCTGACCCATGGGCATCTCATAACAATGCGATGTCTGAGAAGTTGGCCCAGTCTCTCGGTGTGTTTGCGTTATTGTGAGAGTGAGTGGGAGAGCTTGGGTCTAGCTGGAGGGGATGGGGAGCAAGGTGGGCAGAATGCTGATGTGTTTGATCTGAGCTGAGCTTCAGCTCCTGCATCGCAAGCAGACATCAAAGAGACAGAAACCGCTCTCAGTAGTGGTGTGGGAGTCCCAAAGCAACTTGCTGGCAGCTGCTGTGTCCCCGTGGTGGGTCAGGAGGTGCAGCCTTCTGAAAAGACCAACTCCAGGCCATGGGGAAGGGCTGTGGGGTCTTTGGAGAGGCTTCCTCATCCCTTGGAGCAGTAGGGGAGTTGGGGGACACTGCTCTGTTTGTCCCCAGAATAAGAGGATGGGAAAGCAATGCCTCAGAGCAGCTGGGCCTTTGCCAAGAGTGCTTTGGGTTTGGCTTGGTGAAGAGTCAGCGGCTTTGGTGCCTAATTTTAGCTCTGTTTCTTTTCAGTCTCACCATCTGAGCGTGGAATCCTGGTGGCTTCTCTGCCCGTGCTGCCTCCAGCGCTTTGTGCCAGGACCTGCTGGCTGTGCAGGACCCAAAGCTGCCTCTTGGTGAGGTCTGCAGCTGGGCTCAGCATCAGCTTCTCAGCCAAGTCTGGGCTTTGCTTCATGTGGACAATTGTGCCGTGCACGGTTCCTTGTGTAAGAGATCTGAAGGGATTGCTGGAGCCCAGGCTGCCTATCGAGTTTCACCTGGAGGAGGCTGATGTGACTCCAGCTCTGCTCTAATCTTCCCATCTTGTCTGGAGACGTCAGAGTGACTCAATCTGGGCGTCTTATCTGGATGAGCTGAGCGTGGTCAGCACCCAAGCATTTGGCTGAGTGAGCACATTTCCCCCAGTTGTGGAGCTGCCGTGTGGGATGTTACAAGCAGCTCGTGCTGCCTCCCGAGAAAAGCATCTCTTGGTGGCATTTGGCAGCGTGGAGGAGGCCGTGAGCAGATACAACCTGCTTTTTTCCAACAAAATTCTGAGCTCCCCTTCATTTCTCTGGGATTGTCCTTATCTTTCCTGGGGGCACCAGCCAAGGAAGAAGACCATTCTCTTGGAGGCAAAGTGTCCCTGTCCCAGTATTGGGATGGTGCTTATTCTCCAGCTGTGGCATTGGGCGGGCTGCAGACAGCTGGAGAACCCTTGGCCAACATTGCTCGAGTCCCTTGGGTGTGACATTCCTGACTCTCCCATGTCCCGTTGCATGAAGAGATTGATGCCCAGCATCCTCCCTCCCAGTGACGTTCAAAGGCATTTACATCACTGATTCCTGTAGCTGCTCTGTGGGCTGATTTTCCCAGTGCCTGTGGCTGAAGGCTGATACCTGTGATATTTTCAAACAGCACTTTGTTGCCCAAGTCTTATGAGAGATCCTTTAAGTTCAAACATAAGATGTTTAGTCCACATTGGAAGCTCATATATATACTGTATTCTTGGATGACTGAAATGCTCAAAGTGCTGCATAATGTATTTCCTTTGACACCTATTGATTTTTTTTAGAGTTAAGCATTAGGAATTTTGTTTTTCTTAAAGATTATAGTCATGACTAAAATGATACCCTGAAGGCATCTGCACGATATCTAATAGACGAATTTTCTATTTCAGAGCCAGATACTTTGAAGTAGCTGCTTGTGAATGAAAAATACATTTCTCTAAAGTAAATTCAGTCTTCCTACAAAGATTCACGTGTTCTTACATGTCTTTGCTGTAGCTCTTAAAACATGCATCATATACACCGCGATATCGTAACTCTTAACTACTTCTGAAGGCATACGAGCTTCTTCAAACTTCTTGTTGCTCCTTGTTTAGGAATGATCAGATATGACAATCTCATCCTGATCCTTTGTCTGCCAATTTAAATCAAAAATACTACTTTCTCAAGTCGTGGTTTTCCCTGCCTCTATTTTTCTGCTGTATTTCTTCCTTCGGTCATCATTACCACTTACAGCGTTGGAAGGGTCCTTCCATTTCTCTCCGGGTTCAGCAGTCCTTGTGTCCATCAGAAAAGCAAACTGGAGGAGCTTGGTCATCCCCATTCTCTTCTTTCTTCTGCTCAGGTTCTTGGTGTCTTGGTACTCAGCTACCTCAGGTGCTGGAAGAAATGTTCTCTGGGAGTTTTCCCCCGGAGAAGGCACTCCCATCCCCAGCGATGGGGATAAGCCTGCTAAGCACCTCCTTTCTGGATAATAAAGAAATGCTGACCGTTGTCAAATGTTAATGTGTGGTATTCTTGCTTTACACCACGAAACTGCTTCTTGAAAATCCATCAGCAGTTTTCCACATAAGTAGGAGATTCGGGGTGTGCTTGGGGGAATTGTGAAAGCCTCACTCTTGCTGATTTCCACCAAAATGCTTGCCTGACACTGAACCTCAATGCAAAAGATCCGAATCAAGATAAACCGCGAAATTGTTAAGAACGGATAGAAAGGTGGGAGGAGGGAAGAACATGACTACATCGCTGTAAAACATATTTTTCCAGATGACACAAAGATATGAGAGTCCACTTACTCACTAAGTCCTATTCCAATGCTCTTGCTCTTTTATTCTCTTCTGCATCGCAAAGCGTATTTCTGGGTGGAGTCAACAATTTGGCAAAAATCTGTTAACCGCACCAAGCTGATGAAGACAGTAAATTTGTTTCCTCTTCACACCCATGTAGACCCAGCCCACCTCTAGAAACAGATAAAAGGGAATGCCTGGAGCCGTGGAGCCAGAGAAGACTGTGCACACTTCTCTCCGCATCCATCCCCAGCAGCACAGCTCCGTTGGTCTTCCTACTCTGCTCAACTCCTCCTGGAAGAAGCAGCCATGTCCCGGCAGTCTGTCTGCAGAAGCTTTGGAGGTGGCAGCAGAAGGGGCTACAGCTCTTGCTCTGCCGTTGGCGGTGGCTTTGGAGGAAGTGGGGGCAGAAGCAGGATCAGCTACAGCTCCTTCTCCACATCCCGGGGAACTGGAGGCGGCGGACGCTGTGGAGGTTTCAGCAGCAGGAGCCTCCATAACATGGGTGGCAGCGGAAGGATTTCTATGGGTGGCTCCTATGGCGGAGGATACGGATGTAGAATTGTTGGCCTTGGTGGAGGCTACGGAGGAGGATTTGGCAGCATTGGAGGAGGTGTAATTGGTGGAGGAGTAGGCAGCTTTGGTGGCCCTGTGAGAGGTGGTCCTGGGTTCCCTGGAGGCATCCAACCGGTGCAGGTTGACCCAACCCTCCTGCGGCCAGTCCATGTTGACATTGACCCTCAGATCCAACAAGTGAAGTGCCAAGAGAAGGAGCAGATCAAGACCCTTAACAACCAGTTTGCCTCCTTCATTGACAAGGTGAGAGGATGAAACTACATCTCTCTGGGAATGGGGATTCTGGGGAACTCTTCTGGGCTGGGAAGAGGGAAGTATGCATCTCAGCTCCAGGTTGGAAGGTCTGGAAAGCAAGCATTGTTCCTCTCATTGAGTCCTCCTAGAGAAATGTGAACATTTTGCATCTGCAGGGAGTTCAGGGGTCTTTCTCTAGTTCTGTTTGATCCAAATCCTTTCTCACTTTCCATCTTTATCTTTCTCTGAAGAGACAGGCCAAAGTGATCACAGGGTACTCAGTTATCCTGAGCAGTTCTTCAAGTCAGTCCTCTTTCTTCTCAATGAACAAGAAGTGTAGGAATGAAATTTCAATTAATAATTGGCAGTTCATTAATTTGCTTCACATACAGATCAATGTTCTTTGAGTTCACTGCAATGTGAGAATATGAACTGGAAATTCCTCATATATTTTCTAAGATAAATATTCTCCCAGTTAGAGAACACGAGAGTTCATTCACTAGAATGCAAAAGATTAAAGATCCAACACTTCAGCAAATTAATACTTGACAAAACTTGCTGTTGGAAATAGGAGTAGTCTGTTAACCTGGAATCTACATATTCCTACAGGTATTCAACAAAAGAGAAAAAATGCAGTAGAAAAGAAGTCAAATTAATGTATAACTGAAGGAAAAGAGAAAGAAGGGAGGAAATATTCTCTTAGAAAAGAGGCTTTAAAAGTCATTTTTCTGTTGGTCATTTGAGAAATGATTCCCTTGGCCTCCAAAAGAAGTAGGAGATTTGAGGACAGTGATGCTTTGTGAGATCCCGAGGTGAAGGTCTCACACAACCCTCTGTGGGCTTTCAGGTGCGCTTCCTGGAGCAGCAGAACAAA